GTCCCGCGTGGGGGCGATGCGAAATAGCACTGATTTGTAGGCGGGTTCAATTGTTCCAATGCTGCTTCCTAGAACCTTAGTTCCTCGGCCTTGTCAAATCATCCCGGAAGTTATGTACGTGCTTTCCGCTTGCATACCGCTGCTCTTTGTTTGTGGAAAAGCGTGATTTCGACCTGAAATCCCGGATCTTGCTTTTAAGTTTGTGCTCTTGAAATTAAATGATAACGATGCACCAAAGTAGCTTCTACTTTTCATAGGTTATGCTGAAAGAACTGTGAGCCACATGAATGTTGCAAAGTGGTATGTACGAGCGATTTGAAAGTGGCGATTTCAGTGCTAGGGATATCCACTACCTTAGCAGAATTCAATTTAAATAACTGGTCAATAAAGACTTCGTTCGGATTCGAAACCTTGTGAATTGATGACTAATTGCGGTCTTCATTTTTGAGGTTGAGTATCGATGCTTTTTGAGACCATGTGTGAAATTTCAACTTTCAGTGGGTGTTAAAGAACTTTTTCCAACCTACTAATATGGGACAATCTGACGATCATTTTAGATGATCCTACTTATGTTAACACTAACCAATTACATATTTGATTTCATTTACATCCTCGAACGTTGCAAGGTGAAGATTTCTGGACGAGCAAGCCAACGCTGCTTGATACCATGATGTTGTCGATGTCGCAATCACCTTAGCAGAATTCAGTTAACAAATTGATATATTAGTGACTTTTACGGGAAGGAGCTAAAGCTATGAAAGTGCCTCCTTAGTCCTGAATTCACATAGGTGAAGCATTCATGTATTTATGTATATAGGTAAGGCCAAACGTATTTGCCTAGTGTATCACTATTTCTCTGTTACCTTCGACCCATCATATGGTATGTTCAGATGAGTCATTGGTTGAGCAATTTCACTCAAGCCCACCCTTTCCTCTCAACTATCACACACGGGAGGTTTATTTATCTGAGACTTTTTTGGTGATTAGGACGTGATGCCTATCGCAAAATAGCACGTCCTGCTGCATATTGTGTGTGGTTTTTTCATCAAGTTCCATCTCTCTGATTCTGGGTTCAAAAGAGCAAGAAAATGTAAAGCATTTGCTTAAAGATACAATGCTTCAAAAATCTGCGGAAAATGGCAGATCCGCGTTTTTGATTCGTCCTATAAGACTGCTCTTTTAAGTTCCAGGAAATCTGATTTTCATTCCAAAGGGTCTAAGGCGACTCAATAGCGAGCGTAACTTGTTATTAATATGACTAAGTGATCTTTGTGATGACGACATCGTTCTTATAACGCCGAACATCGAGCAAGCGGAGCGAATGCTGGCTGATTTCGACTGCGCCTGTGGTAAGGTTGGTCTACAGCTGAACCTAACGAAGACGATGTTTATGAGAAACGGATTGGTTCCTGATGCCCCATTCACGCTCAACGGAACGAACATCACCGAATGCTCCAGCTACGTGTACCTAGGTCGGGAAATCAATATGATGAACGATCTAGCTCCAGAGCTGAGCAGGAGGAAACGAGCGGCTTGGGGAGCGTACAAGAACATCGAGGGAGTAGTGAAGAAGACGAAGAACATCCGGCTCCGTGCCCACCTCTTCGATTCCGCTGTCCTTCCTGCCCTAACCTACGCCTCAGAGACTTGGACTCTGCGCAGGCAGGACGAGCATGCGGTCAGCGTTATCCAACGCGCTGTCGAGAGGACGATGCTAGGAGTAACCCTATACACGCAAGTGCAGAGGGGAATCCGGAGTTCGGAACTACGCCAACGATCGAAGATCAGGGACGCTGCCGTTTTCGCCAAGGAATCGAAGATAAGGTGGGCCGGACACGTCATGCGATTTTGCGATGACCGTTGGACCAGAGCGGTTACCGACTGGATCCCTCGGGACGTCAAACGAACACCTGGACGACCGCCGGCCCGATGGTCAGACTTCTTCACGAAAGCTCTGAACGAAAGGAATGATGGACTTCGTGTCCCTCGAGCAAGGAGGATCCACTGGACCACCTAGCACGCGACAGGGACGAATGGAGACGTTGCTGGCGCCCGCTCGAGCAAATCGACGATCAACGGGACGACAGGTGATACAGGTGAAATGAACTTTGTGCCCTTTTCTAGCTAAGAAAAATAATGGAAAGAGGCTTGATGCGCTCTTTGATTGATTTCGATCGAATTTTGATTCCCATTTTTTCCCGTTCAGGTCAGCTTTCGAATCCCATTTTTGAACGAATTTGCATCTTCGAAGTAGAAAATAACAGAAAGGAGCTGAATTACGAACCTAATTATGTAGATAATATCTCGACACTCTACTCAGCCGATAGAAGGACCTTCAAAGTTTTTCCTCTTCCACTGGTTTACCGGCCAATTTCGAGCGCTTTGCAAGCAAATTTCGCATTTATTCTATGGTAAGGAAAATGCACAAAAGTTCCCCATTCGAATACCTTCGAAAATGCTATGTCCCGAATGGAAAGTGAGTCACGATTTTTTGTCTGTGACTTTTTAACTTCGGTCAGGGCAGTCTTCCATCCGATCACTCAACCGGCAAGTTAATTGGCCGTACCACTTGAGTTTTCTCTCAAAAGTCACAATAACTGATCTCAGTGCCTCCAGCCGCAATTGCTAGAGGGCTTTCTACGCTCATGCAGGCGCCCAACAGTCCGCATTTAATCTGCTGGTCGAGGCCGAGGTCGAGGGTAAGTAAGCAGTGATCGATTTAGAACAAAAAGACGCTGATCCGCGTCTTCCGTGATTCTTCAGAACAGTTACGGGAAGTATGTACTGTATCAATGTTGAAGACTTACATCGTGAAACACAATGCTACCGTCCCTTCTTTGGTAACGAATCATTGAGCTGGGTGGACTCTTTTGGCAACTTCGCTGTGACAGTAGAAAGCCAGGAGTTCCAATTTTTATCTGACCAGCCAAAGTCACTTCAACATGAAAACGGTATAATTAATCCGCATAGCGGTCATCTCTTTAGTAAACCTGTCTTTGTTTCACCCACCTGGAATGATAATTGCGACCCACAAAAACGACGACATTGCTTTCGAATGCGGTGATCAACACAGGTTTTTATATTACGATTTACGGGAATTCGTATTATTCATGCAGACACGCCGATGTTCCCATGCATAAAAACGCGGCAATGTAAGTGCCTGCTTACAAGGAAATGCCTTGAATTGGAACCATAACGCGTGAAATAAGCAAAAGCTCAGCATATGGGATTTCAAGTGTGGTGTTTTGGTACACTGGCCTGTTGAAGTCCGTCAGCAAGTGTAAATATGTTGAATAGTAGCACTCGTTCGTAGAAGTGAGATTTCAAAGATGAAATAGTGGCTCTGCTGTTCCGCCTCATGAGGGTTTCGTGCTCACGGTGAATCGCCCTGTCACTTGCAAAAGTATGGATCTGTGACGAATGTAATGCAGCAGGGCATTTGCACGGACCATCCGGGAGATGACATCGATTGCAAGAAGAATACGAAAACTATTGAAGAGTGTGTGACTGATGACCCTAAATAATCGTATACAGGGAGAGGAGAAGGGGGGCAGAAAAAGTCACCTTGCCTGTGGCGCACTTCATCAAGCTTATTTTCGCACAGGGTGCCACAGTTGATGAAAATTTGGGCTTACACACCTTCTGTCAACCAAAGGGTGAGAGCGTAGCTGGAAAAGCACACACTTTGTGTCTTATTGGGACTAAGCCTTTTGAAGAAGATAAAGAAAGAGGAGATGCTGTGATAGTGTGCACTTGTGAGAGCTCCCAGACATCACTACAAAACGCTGAACCGCCAAGGCTCACGGTTGACAGATGTCCTGAGACCGATGATTTACAGCAAAAATTCCCTAGATGTGCCCCCATAAGCAGAAGCAGCAGGCCCTTCTTCATCTCTCCACCCCCTCCCTTCCCAGAATACGACGTCATCTGCCATCATCGTCGAGCTCCAGGAGGCCTACCGTAATCGCTACAGCATAATTTCTTCAATCGGTTAAGTGGTGAATAGCTTCTAGAGCACTAGCTGTGACTGTGCAAGACCGCTTTTGACCAGCGTTCAGGGACGTCGTAATGGTCTATGGTACCTCGACGACCTCGTTGAGCTCGTACCGTGAACCATGTTTTCTGGGGCCACAGGCAAGGTGACTTTTTCTGCCCCCTTCTCCTCTCCCTGTATACGATTATTTAGGGTCATCAGTCACACACTCTTCAATAGTTTTCGTATTCTTCTTGCAATCGATGTCATCTCCCGGATGGTCCGTGCAAATGCCCTGCTGCATTACATTCGTCACAGATCCATACTTTTGCAAGTGACAGGGCGATTCACCGTGAGCACGAAACCCTCATGAGGCGGAACAGCAGAGCCACTATTTCATCTTTGAAATCTCACTTCTACGAACGAGTGCTACTATTCAACATATTTACACTTGCTGACGGACTTCAACAGGCCAGTGTACCAAAACACCACACTTGAAATCCCATATGCTGAGCTTTTGCTTATTTCACGCGTTATGGTTCCAATTCAAGGCATTTCCTTGTAAGCAGGCACTTACATTGCCGCGTTTTTATGCATGGGAACATCGGCGTGTCTGCATGAATAATACGAATTCCCGTAAATCGTAATATAAAAACCTGTGTTGATCACCGCATTCGAAAGCAATGTCGTCGTTTTTGTGGGTCGCAATTATCATTCCAGGTGGGTGAAACAAAGACAGGGTTTACTAAAGAGATGACCGCTATGCGGATTAATTATACCGTTTTCATGTTGAAGTGACTTTGGCTGGTCAGATAAAAATTGGAACTCCTGGCTTTCTACTGTCACAGCGAAGTTGCCAAAAGAGTCCACCCAGCTCAATGATT